CGAGATACTTGACAGCAGGGCAGCACGCGCGTGTGATGGCGGGCAGGCCCGGGGCAGTAAAGCCGGGCAGCGCATGAGGGCGGCGGCGCGGGTCGTCGGCGGGTCGCCGAGGAGATGGTCGACAGGTCAAAGGGGGCGAGCAGCAGCTGGGCGAGCCAGAGAGCACGAGATAGCGCTCCTCCCAGATCCCAGTCGCGCTGGGAGGGCTCGGCGGCGGCGGCGTGGGCGCGGACAGAGTCGGTCAGGGCGAGGAGCGAGGGCCTGGCGGCCCTGCGCTCGGCAGACTCGAGGGCCGCCAGCAGGGGCTCGAGGTGGCGGGCCTCGACGGGCAGGAAGCGCAGGATAACGGCGGCGCCGCGGATCTTGGTCAGGGTGTAGACGAGGCGGGCAATGGCGGCGGGCAGGGGCTCGAGCAGCTGGGCTCGTGCGCTGGGCGCGGCTGACGACGGCCTCGTCAGGCGGCCGGCCTGCGTGTAGAGGTTCTCGAGGTACGAGGCGGCGAGGACGGGCAGCCATTTCGGCAGATGGGGATCGAGGAGCTGCGGTAGTTCTTGAAAGGGGTCGAGAAGCTATGGGCGCGCGTTTGGTCAGTTCTCGGGTTCCAGTCTCCTGTCACCTGGAAGGCTGGAAGGCTGGAAGGGAGGGGAAACAATCTTGATCGGAACAAGGAGGCAGCTCAGGCTCACGCACGGTGGATGTGAGCCTCGCCGTCTCGCTGATGCGGACGCGGGTGCGCAGCTCGCCGTTGGGTTTGCGCAGAAAGGGCGTCAGCGAGCGATCAAAGTCGGCTATGAGATCACTGGATGCCTTTTGGAGCTTGACGTCGCGATCATCCTCTGGGGCGTCCTCCATCGTCAAGTCCCGGTCCTGGTCCTGGTTCTGGTTCTGGTTCTGGTTCTCGTCGTAGATGGGGGGGGAACAGCGCCAGGCGAGGATTTCGAAAGAACGAGCGGGGATGTCACTATCATTTATTTGTCAGCTCCGGGAGTTCGGAGACAAGGGTCTTTTGAACGAACATGAACGCTCATGTCTGTGTAGCGGCGAGGGCTCTGCCGTATGGGATGCTGCCCTGAACGGATGGTGTGGTGGTAAGTTCGTGAGGAGGCTGTCATGAGGAAGATGGGTGTGTCGTTGGAGTTGGTCGTTGAGAGTGAGAGCGATTCTGAGGGCTCCGGTGACAGTGTATGGACTGGTAGAGCACGGTGACTGCACACAGTACCACCACAGCACATTCATGACATGTGATGTGGACGATGAGAGCGAAGGAGATGATGAATGCATCAAACGCTCAGCAATGAACCAGAGTTGGAAGAGCAAAGGAGCACTTCTCCCAGCTGTCGCGAACAGAGAGAGCACCCATCCCCTCTCCCCGCCAAGCATCGAACATGAGCACTCCATATTGTCACGGGTTCATCATCGGCGGCCAAAACTACCATGTGAGAACGCCGACTGCTCATTTCCCTGCTATATACATCTTGCCAGGTATGTCAAAAGAGAACCCCCGAAAACACCAGATTTTATTGTAGTTTGGAACCCAGAAACGACTGAGCCTAGTCGCTGCCCGGCGTGGGCGCATCCTCAATCGCCTCATCCATCGCCGCCTCGTCTCCGTTCTCCTGCGTCTCCGTCTCCTGCGTCTCGTTCTGCTGCTGCTGCTGCTGCTGCTGCTGCTGCTGCTGCTGCACCTGCGCCTGCTTCTCCTTGGTGAGCGCCAGGTTGACGAGCGGCGTCGTGTCGTTGAAGAGGCGCAGCAGCATGGCCGAGCGGTCCTCCTTGGGCAGCATGAGGTTGAGCGAGTGCAGGCTCTTCCACAGCGGCAGCGCCATGCGCTCGGTGAAGCCGTCGGGCGTGCCGTCGGGCTCGAGCCGCAGCACGAGGCAGCCCATGCCAATGTCGCGCACGCGCTCGCCCACCTCGCCGAGCGCGCGCCACGCGCCGTCGGCAATCTTGGGGAACATCTCAATAAGCAGCCGCCGCAGCGTCTCCTTGTTCGTGAGCCGCACGATGCGCTCCTCGCCGACGTAGCCCTGCACGATCGGCATGCCCTCCGACTGGATCCGCCACCGGCACACCTCGGCCGACGGCGCGTCCTGCCGCATGAACATCTTGACGCCGCCGTGCACAAACTTGACGCCGCGGCCCTCGTTCTCCGTCAGCACGTCCTTGGCCAGCGACGACGTGTAGTAGATGGCCTTGGCCGGCTCGCCCGTCGCGTTGCGCACCATGAACCGGTCCTGCGGGAACCGCGCCGACACCGAGTAGAACGTCTTGATGTTCTGCAGCACCTCGTGTCCGGCGTCAGGTACTTGAACGGCTCCTCGATCTGGCCCGTGCTGGTTTGCGGATCGGCTTTGTGTTGGTCGGCTTCGGCGCCGCCACGGCAGGCGTGGCCTCCTCGGTCTTGGTCTCCTCCGTCTTGGCCTCCTCCGTCTTGACCTCCTCCGTCTTGACCGCCTCAGGCTCGGCCTCCTCTGTCTTGGCCTCTCCGCTGTTGCTCTCGTCGACCTTGGGCTTCTTCGAAGCCTGCGACTCTGTGTCGACGGCTTCATCCTCACGCGCCCGTTTCGTACCGTTGCTCGACGCGTCCTGGTCAATCAGCATGGCATCAGCCTCGGGCGCAGCCTCGACAGGCTCCTTCTCGACAGGCTTCTCAGCCTCAGGGGTGGCCTCGGCGGCGGCGGCGGCGGCAGCAGCAGGCGTGGCGGCCGCCGTCGTGGTCTGCGACTTGACGGGGACCGGCTCGGGCTTGATCTTGACCTCGGCCTTCTTTGTGCAGCACGGTGATGAAAAACCCGCCCGTGTCCTGCAGGTGCAGGTGAGCGTAGACCCGCGTTCGAGCGGGCAGGTCGGGCGCTGTCGCTCGTCGGGGGGCTGCGGGAAACATGAATTCGACAAACGCGGCCCGGGAACGGAAACGGCGTCCTTTGGCCGTCCATGAAAGTCGTTTGAACCCTCCTGCATCGACTTCCAAAGGCGGCCGGCCTTTGTCCATGGACCCTGCCCAGTCCTTGAAGCCCCGGGCCCCTCTGGGAGCCCAAGAAGTTCTTTGCGGCAGTCGAAAATCTTCGACCTTTGTCGGGCCCC